AAGATATATTATTTTTTAGTCAGGATGCACAAAGCTTAAAATTATAATGACAAAATTTCAAACTGAGATCAAAAGATTATTTGTATAAATATTCAAAGATTGTGGACCTATTTTTTTATATATATCATAGCTCCAGAAGTTCTAACTCCAACGGCACAAGCAAATGATAGTTTTGACGTGTCTGTAGAAAGATATGATTTTATTAGTGAGGACACATAAAGATGTGAAAATCAGAATACCAATATTTCAAAAATAAATTCAAAAGTATATCTTTATAAATATACAAAGAATGTAGATCTATTTTTTGTATATATTTTAGTTCTAGAAGTGCTCTTTNATACCAATATTTTAAAAATAAATTCAAAAGTATATCTTTATAAATATACAAAGAATGTAGATCTGTTTTTTATATATGTTTTAGTTTTAGAAGTTCTCTTTTCAACGGTACAAGTGAATCATGGTTTTGAGGCGTCTACAGAGAGATATAACTTTTTTAGTCAAGACACACTGTTTCCAGAAAATTTCATCATTCATGAGTAGAATTTTTGATGCAGTTAAGTTGTTACCTTCTAAAAAAATGTGGTCAGAAAGTAACCACCGAGAAGCTAAAAGGGGGAGTTATAGACTGTAAATCAATAGAAACAAAAACAAAGGCTTGTCTTGCCTGTCTACGTAAGGTTTCACTCTTCAACACAGCCCTCTCCTCCTGGATAGGCATTATCCAAAAAGAAACATGAGCAGAACATGAGAAAAGCTCATTCTTACTTCTAATCTTTTTTTGCTGGAATAAAAAATATAAATATTTCAACTTGCTGATGTAGTTTACCTGCCTCCTTGAGTTCTCTAGTTGTTGTATCAACAATTATTCCTCGAATGTAGAATATTATAGCTCAAATTTCAAGATTCAACAAAATAGATATATTTTGAAAAATTTTGACTAAATCTTGTGGCACTAATAACTGAATAATCAAAGCAATCATTACACCTTCATATCCTTTATGGCTAATAGTCCTTTATTTAGTTGATGTTCAAGCAGTTGTAGTTCATTCAAACCCAAACCATTAAGGTCCTTGCCGAACAACCGCCTGAAATAACAGTCAATCACATATGTAAATTTAAATCATGTTCAAGTGCTAAATATCTTTAATCAATGATTTGCATAATTAACAGAGTCATACAGTTGTTTTATGTTGAGCCTTGAGAGTTCGTCTTTAAGATTGTCCACCTCTTTTTGTTCCTGCTTCTACACATGTGTCTGTAGCTGCGCTTGCGATTGTGGATGATGGTTGTCCTTGTTCAATAAAAAAACAAAATAGAACAAATTCAAAAGCCTCTACTAATAGGACCATATCAATAGATAAATGACTGTTTAAACACGATTAAGTGTTCACACTATTACCACACCCTACCCTCCACCATAGTACAAAAAAATAGAATCATCTATATATGAGCCAAGTTTCAGTATGTCCATTATAACAAACTTGCCGATAATAGTTTAACCGAGGCGAGCATAGCTGATATCTGACAGAGATTTATTTTGAACACAATAGAAGTTAAACCGTACAAAGATTCAGTATAGATGAATTATAATAATTTTTATAGTGAGCTCCATATCAATTAAAGAATATTTTATACATAATTTGAATTACTGGCGTTTTTCTTAGACAATTGAGAAACACAATTGTGAATACAACTTTAACAAACAGGTAGAGAAATAGTCATACTACATATAATCATTTCATATATAAGCAAAATTTCGGTATGTTCGTCCTAAAGAAAGTAATAACAAATTTTTCGATGATAAACCTTCAGAAATAGAAAAAAAATGCTGGTATAATCGTTTAATTAGTAAAGTTTATTGCGAAAATTTTATCCGTTAAATCAGAAAAGAAGAGAAACTTTAAAACTAAGTAAAGTTGAATAATCAAAATTGTCGTAAGTTCACCCTAAAGAAATTAATAACAAACTTTCCGATGATAAACTTTCAGAAACAGAAACAGAATACTGGTACTACACATTATCGTTTATTTAGTACAGTTTATTGTGAAAAATTTATCATAAATGTAGAAAAGAAAGAAATTTAGAACTATTAAAGTTGACTATGTTACCTTTGCATCTTGTAAAATCAACTCAATGGCATATGGTATTTCAGGCTTCAAACGATCAGGGATTCCCACATTCGAACAACTCTGATTTTGAGATTCAATTTCATCAAGTTGCTTGAAATTTGACTGATTTTATGAAGTGTTGTAGCCATATTTGCAAAGTTTTGTATTTTGAGCAGAGAAAAAAGGGAGTGTAAAAGAAAAGAAAAGAAGTAGCAGACCGTTTGAGACATTATTAGCATATGAGACAGTTTCTAAGTTATGGAGTTAGGTTTTGATGCCCATGCTTGGGAAGAGCATCGTGGAGTGTTTTTTTTCCTTTCTTCCTATTTCTATGTAAAATTATTTACAAATAATTTTTGTAGTCGAATATTTAGGTTTATAATAAAATAAATAAAAATTAAAGAAAAAACGTGGGAGTCCATCTTTTTAATTGACGATTGTGGAGTATTTTTTTCCTTTATTAATATTTTTATGTAAAATTCTCTTTAAAAAAATGTCGTGAGTAATTATATTTTTTTAGTTTTCAGGTTTAAAAAAGATATGCCCAAAAAACTTGGGCATGGTGTGAATAGATCTTCCCTGATGTAGGATGTGAATAACTGGCCAAATTAATGGTCTAAAATTTTGTAAGTTTTTTTCTATTTTTAAATTTTTTGAATCTCCAAATTTATTGGAGTTTTGTCTTAAAATATAACACGTGTTGATATTTCGTTTTGACATTTGGCATAATATTATGGATTTGCCTCTCCTTTTTTATATTAATAGATTTTTGGAACCCAAATACTTGGAAATAACTTCATAGTGTTTCTAAAAAAGAACTTTGTATCACACCAAATACATAGAAAGTTATTTGTCACACAATATGTATGAGCATTCAACCACAAGAGTAAAAATAGATGGTGTGTTTATAATATTAGTTGTGAAGGGGAAAAGTATCTTTAGTTCAAATTTGGGGATTAATTTGATCTTCTACACAAAGTTAGAAGGGAAAGAAGACACCCTTAATTATAAAAATGACAGCATATGCACCTCTAATTTTCAGTATTAACTCGGAGGACCAAGGGTGTGTTTGGTACGAAGGAAAACAGAAAATGTTTTCCAATTTTGGTTGGCTTAAGTATTTTGGAAAACATTTTCTTCCAATTGGAGGAAAATATTTTCCTTATCAAGAGAAAGAGAAAATATTTTCCAAAACTCCTTCTCAACCTTCTCCACCCTCACCAACCCACTCCCACCACCTCTCTCCAAAAAAGGCTTTTTTTTTTCAAAGTTCAGTTTTTCCGTTACCACCCACCCTATTACCCCTTCACCCCACCCTAACCCCCCCCCC